CATCTGCTTACAGTCAAAGTCTCAGATTAGGCTAGATGAGGTATTACACATAGAGATTATCTTAGTCTGACACTCTTTTTTTCTCAGTGGCTTCTTTGTTTTGAGACTGAGTGGATTTCTTGGAGGGGAGGTTTGTGCTGATTGAAGCTGACATCAGTCTGGATGCAGATGAGAGACTGAAACTGCAAGACATCTGCTCTTTTAGAAAAACACTTTTCAGGTTTTGTTTATAGCCTAAGACCTGCAGAAGGTGCAGAGTGATTCTCCATAAGATGTAATTTCCTGAAGTTGAAGAATCATTTGCAGAAGACAGAGCCACTGTGTGCTGTTTTCCCATTACAAAACCTCTATAAGTTACTCCCAGCTCACCACATCTCATCTGTGTGGAAACTGGAGATCCTCTTGTAAAATGAAAATAGGTTGTTGTGGTGTTTCACTAGGTGTAGAGTGCCTATGATGTAATGCTTCATATCTCATTCATCAGGGGGATAAAAGCAGTGGAGCTCCCTCTATTGGTCTTATTTCTACCTTATAGGAGAGATCATAGACTGTAGACAGTGTAATGACAGACAAATAGTATAACTCCATATTTCATTTTCTTTATCATATTAATTAAATTCGGTGGGGCTTTATTAGCATGGGAAACAAACATTTTTATTGCCAAAGCAAGTGTGAAATAAAAATACAAGTACACAAACAGACATCTTTCTTCTTTTGACAATACAATACAGAACAAAACATACATTTACCATTATTGTCATAAAGTATTACTTACACTATTTACTTCTCAATGCCATGTCCTAAATGCTTATGTCTGTTCAGGCACATTTTTAAATAAAATTTAACTGATCCACTTTATTAATTATTTAGTCTCTGACATTTGGTAATGCAAAGCATGTGACAGATTTACAGTCCAATAAACTGCCACCTAGCCCACATTATGTTGACAATTCCAAACTGAAGATGCTGCTCTTTCCCTTTTTGTCCAACAGACAGGTTTTAGATCCTTTAATTTTAAAAACGTTAACAGCAGATCACAAATCAACATGATACTGAAAGCTCCAAAACAGGGAAGGGTTTGCTAAATGAGCAAAAGAAAACAAACGGATGACAAATTGTGGAGAAGAAGTGCGAGGTGATGGAAAGTGAGAGAATTAATGATAAATGAGGCGTGAAATAGTAAGAGCTAGACGACAGACTTGTAGAGACAGAGAGAGTTTAGAGGTGTTTGACAGCCGAGAGACAATATATGGAGTATGCAGCAGCAAATCCATTGAGGCTAGTCACACAGCTGCTTGGAGACCACCAGCTTGCCTTCATCCCCCCTTTCATCTTCTTTTCCCTTCAGTTTTCCTCTAGTTGCCTCTTTATTACTCTTTAATGGTGACATCAAATTTAGCATTTTGCAAAGACCAGATTAGTGCTTGTCTTAATTAGCAATGGCAGCATCTAAACATTTCTTGATTTTTGGAAGAATGTGTATATCCAGACAGGTGGTGTTGGATTTACGTGCCGGTTTCCTCCTCTTCCCCAGGGCTGGCGATGGCTCTCCCTCCAGCATTGTGAAAAGCTGTTTAGAGCAGACTGAGTTGGACTTGGCTGGAAGCAGAGACACGTCTGGCTGTGTGAAATGCAGCGTCTCCCTGCCTCACGCTGCAGAGTTTCTGTCTCCAGGCAGTCATCTCAGCCTGTGAGAGGCTGCTATTAACTGCTGCTCTCTTTGTTTCTATTCGCCCCCATACATTGACTGCTCACCCACACGCTGCTTTTCCTCTACAGTATGTTTTGTCTGCAACTAGGTAATAAAAGAGCTGCTGAAGATACAATTGCATGAACACAAAAGAAATGACCAGATTTCTTTTTATTCACCATATTATATTTTTTTAATTGCAACACACTTTCATCAGATTATTTGAAATGATGATCAATAATCATTCTGGGAGGAATAGAAGTGTAGGTTAAGCAAAAAATGATGCTGGTTTTTTTTTTTTCATTTAAACCAATTCATGTGAAGAGAATGGTGCTGATGCAGCAGCTGCTTGCCTCATAAATTTGCAATGTGCCTTTTTTTGTCTTCTATTTCATATAAAACACTTCACTGAACCTTGTTGGTTAGGCAGGTCTCAGTTCTGTGTGTGTGTGTGTGTGTGTGTGTGTGTTGGACTGTGTGCATCCACACTGTTTTTTTTTTTCTTTCACCGTAGTGGAACATATGATGGGAACAACCTCCAGTTGCCATAGCAACACAGTGTTTGTAGTGGCATGAAAGATTTTCTCTGCAAGGACATAAATGGAGCACTGAAATGAGCCCTAATTACCTTATTGTCTCACTGTTTTCAGTTTTATTTCCGTCCATTCTCAAAAAAGGAGCTTTTATGTAGCCTACTCATTTTAATGCTACAAATCAAAACCAAATTAATTAGTTTAATTGTTTGAGTAGTTTTATTTTCCATATATTTAACTTGGTGTGCTATGTGCTTATTTGATCTTTGCACATTACACTCTGTAAGTGGGCCCTGTCCTTGGAGCTCACTGCCACCCAACCATCTGACACTGTGATCCCAACGACTGATCCAGATGGATCTCCAGGCAGACAAGTCTTATCCTGCTGGGACACACTGGGTCCTCATAGAGATTACAGCTCTGGCTCCCTTCTTGTGCCATGTGCAGTCTTGTTTTGCATCACACAACCCTGACAGTAATGGAGGTGTTTTTAAGGCTTTTATACTAAACTTAATAAATAAAAATGTAATAAACAGGTAACACTTTTTATACCCTGTTGGAGCTTTCACATGCTATGTAATGTGTTTGTGTAGCCGGAGAAATTGCTTGGATTTGTCAGTGGAGCACATTGCTGTGTAAGTAGAATATGTTTCTCCTGCCATAACGCTGGCTTAGAAGAACCTACATCCATGCTGTGATGTGACCCCAGGGAGAGTGGACATATTGACTGTGACAGCAAAATACATTTATTATCAGCCTCCTAAACACTAATGTCTCAGCTCTGAATTTTTGTTGCATTCGCCATATTGTCCGTATTGATGCCTAGATGGTGTTTCAGCTCCCCCTTGTCTTTCGGACTACAGGCTTTTATTTGATCCATGTTTGCGTGCATCTGTGACAAGGACCACCAGAGGATGCTGAATGGCTTCAGCGATGCCTTGGGGTGAATCCCTATAGATTAGCCAAATCAATATAGCGTATAGACTTGGAGGTGTCACATAATTGTGGGGCCCCTCTTGTCCCATCTTTTCTTTGTATTGATGTGTGAGTGTGTGTGTGTGTGTGTGTGTGTGTGTGTGTGTGTGTGTGTGTGTGTGATGTATGTATGGGGTTCCACAATAGTGGCACAGTATCTCTAGGCATAACATTTTCCATTATCGTTTTATATTGTTCATTATACTGTGCTGGAGAAACCATCTTTTGTACCCGCACACAATAATATCTTTTCAGGTATCAGTAGTTATATTTCTTTAGTTTCAGTGTATCTGTGAAAAGGGCGTTTTTAGGGTAAAATCTGGGTATGTCTTTAGCATTGATCAGTTCAGACAGAAAGGGACACTAACCCTAACCCTAAATGGACAGGACATATATATATATATGATGCAGTGGTGGTATAAGTAATGAGCATGCTATATAACAACAGGTTCAGCTGGTGGCCAATAGACTGCCTTTTCTTCTGTGTGGTTACAGCGAAGTGGTTCTGGAGCAAGATAGAGAGTGATGGAGGGAGGGTGGAAAGTAGAGAGAGGAGGGCTTGAAGAGAGGGAGAGAGAGTGCCAGAATATACAGAATGCAGTCGGTGGGCTTCTGCAGCCAGTCTCATTTAGATTGGGAGGCATCACTTCCTACTGGGGAGGAGTGGAGACAGACTGATATGGCTACAGATGACAAAGAGGGGCAATGTGAAAGGACCGAGCTTGTAGATTGGAAACAAAGAGCTAGATTTTAGAGAAGGCAGAGGAAAGGTTGGATCTGACGTTCATCATCTGAGGAAGAGGCGTTGGGCGTCTACGTGTGTGTCAGGCAGTAGCATTGTGGTGGGGAGAGGTGTAGCCTGCCGGCAGCCATGGCAGTGAGTGCGTGGCAGGCTCTGTCTCCACTGCAGTGGGCTCGCTGGGGATGGGACACACTGCTGGGAGGGGCAGAAGACGGGGACAGCTCGGGCTCGGATCCGGCTCTGGGGCTCCTCCGGCGTATCTCCTGGGGCTCACATCATGACAACATGATCAGTGCGGCCAGGGAGCCGGTCAGACAGAGGTGAGACAGGACGAGATGCTGAGGCCATATACCGCCAAGTAGTACGTTGATCAGCATCAGTATGGAGCTTGGTAGTCAGGTTGTCTGGTGTGTACGTGTGTGTATGGTGCTGAGGAAAAAAACCAATCAATATAGCTTTTGCTTAGGATGATAACATTGTGATTTGTATTTACAGCCTATTGTCATGTATGACACATGTATGTACTGGTATTTTCTCTGTTTTTCACTCAGTAAATCCCTCAGTCCCTCCCTTTCTATTTCATGATGGTGATATATTTGGTATCTTAAGGTGGTCTTGTGTGTATGGGTGTTGCATGTGTGCAGGGAGGTGGGGTAATTCTGTCTCAGATGTGTCATTATCTGTCACCTCACGGCAGATTCAGTGTTTTCATTTGTAGCCGTAAAAGTCTACAAGAAATGAAAACAGAAACAAATATTAGCCCGGGGCTACAGAAAATAGCACCTGCTGGTCATACTACCTGAAACACAGAGTAAAATACTGCCCTTAGTGAATCTGTGTGAAAACATATTTGCATTATTGCCTTCGAGAATGATTTTTGAACTGTTTACTGCTATAAGAACGAGTCCTTTCTGATGTGATGGAGAGAAGTTTAGGCTCACCCTCACATGACATCAATGTCAATGATCCCAATACAGTCGCCAGAGTCATTACAGTTCAAGTGATATCAGTCTGATTCACAGCAGCCTAGACTTAATGTGTTCTTATGTTTTTGTTATAGGAGCTCAGACTCTGATGGAGCATTTGAGACCCCTGAATCCACAACTCCAGTGAAGGCAGTTTCCCCTACAGAGTCCCAAACCCAGCAACTAGCATCCGATGACACAGGTACAGAAAGCAAATTATGCCATGATGTGGGCCTACACAGTGCAATAATCTGTTACACCAGTATGATAAAAGAAAGTTGCATTGCACCATCTAGTGGAAAAGAGCAGTATTACTTATCTGGCTTTCTTTGCTGAGACAAGTGTCTCTGCCCAAAACTTAGGCTTTTGGGATATCTAGGAAAGGCTGACCAGTTTAGTCTGTCTCACTCATGCGGTTATTTTTTATAGGTTTCTGTCCAATTGAGATACTCATAGAATTATTTATAGCAAATTCATCTCTATAATTGAATGAGTCAGAAGCCAGCTGCAGCTTTAATTTTCACGCAGGCTTCCTTCACTACCTGCATTTTATCCACAAACCAGTTAAAATGTAAAATAATCCCATATTCATTTGATTTCAATTTAGCCTTTTTAGTAGCTGAATAAACATCTTTATGTTATATCTCTGAATCTTTTGCAGTAGCAGACACCTCAGTCAGTGATCCTGATTTGACAGCTGGTGCACTCTGCCATTCCCCGTCCATTGTTTTTGATGAGAACAGGCCCATTGCAGCCAGTGGCACCTACAACATTGAGGTTTTAGCAACAGATTCAAGTCACACTCTGACCCGTTCGCTGAGCCTCCAGGGTGGAGAGCTAAACAGTGCAGGTACGTTGGAAGGATCAACAGTGGGAGATTTCCGTCCACATTCTGAATCCTTCAGCGTTGGCACTGAGAGTGCTCCAGGGACACTCCACAGGCCCAAGAAAGTCCGTCCTGGGTCCGTGAAGAAGAAGCCTCTACTCAGACAGAACTCCAACCCAGAGAGTCCAAGGCCAGCCTCATCCAGCAGCACCCCAGAGATCAAGAAGCGGGCAAAGCCTCGAGCTGCCAGCCCTCTCCAGGCTCAGGAGGAAGCAGGAGGAGGATCTGCAACTCCGAGCCCTGGAGGAACCCTTCGAAGGACCAGGAAGACCCGTGTGGAGACTCCTCCTCCTCTGCCAGAGGAGACCAACCATACCAGCCAAGAGGAAAGCCTTGTCATCTCGGCCTTACCCTTGTGCCAAGAGGAGATCCCTCTCCCTGGTAGTCCAACAGGCAAAGACGAATCCCCCATCCCCCCAAGTACCTCCTACAAATGGGATCCGGATAATTTTGAGAACATTGACCCTTTCAAGACTGGAGGTAGTAAAATTGCCAATTCCCCTGATCTGGGCCGTAAAGGTCCTGTGTGTGCCCCCATTGCCACCCCTCCAGAGAGTCCCTCTGTCTGTGCTGTGGCGCCATGTCCTCCACCTCCTCTTGAAGAGCCAATCACCAACCCTGAAGAGCAACCCATCATACCCAAACGTCAGTCAGTAAGGCTGGAGTTTGACTACTCTGAGGAGAACAGTGAGGCGTCACATCAGGCCTCTCCCCCACCTAAGAAAGTGGGCAAGAAGCCCGGTGGCAAGATGCCTCTTAGGAAACCAAAGCTGGGGCTCAAGAAGGCCCCTCCAGTACAGACGGAGCAGCTGGACAACAATCCTCCAGCAATCCACAATGGTAACGAGGAGGAAATCCCTGTTCAGAAAGCATCTTACAACTTTGAACCTGACAAGTGGGAGGATCCAAATTTCAATCCATTTACTTCTAAGAAAGGTATTGCCAACTCCCCCAAACTATCCAGGCCATCTTATAGCTTTGACTCCAGTAACTTCGATGACTCAGTAGACCCTTTCAAACCCTCCAATAAGATGGCCAACTCCCCTCCTAAGGCCTCTGCCTCCTTTGAAGTGTCATCCAGTGACTTTGACAATGAAAATGACAATGATAACATTGGGGAACTGGAGGACCAAAACCAGAACAAACCTGCCAAGAAGAAGAAAACTCCTATCAAATCGTAAGTCACTTAAAGAACTATTCATGTGTAGGAATTTCTGCGTCTTTATTGTTGAGGTTTTCTCGGTTCGTCTGTGTTTGTACGTGGTCCTCTTGTCTATTATGCCTGTGTCCTCTGTCTGTCTCTCTGTCACCTGTGTCTGTGTATTCCCATATGTCACAGGAAGTCCAGGGGTGTGTCTTCTCTATGTTGTCTGTTGTAAGTACGGGGTCAACACAACCATCCACTCCTTTTGACCCTTAATTCCATGTGGGCCCTTTTAAAGCAGCATGCTGCCCCTCTTCCTATTAACAGACATATCACAATCCCTTGAACTCACTAGCAAACAATTCCATTTAAACTTTTATAATACTGCCCATTTTAACTGGAGGACACCTGTTTTCAGTTTTGTTTTAAATTCTTTATTATGTAGTTACAAATTCCTCTATGAAATTACCAACTGAACAACATAGTAGAAATGGCTTTCCTGGTATTATCTCGATAATTGCTGTAATGTTTGTCAAATGTACAAAGAACAGCAGAGTAAACAGCTTGAAACCTTCCTCCAATACAGGTCAGTACAATAGGTGCTGTTGAATGACTAAGACAAACGTAACGCATGGTGATGTGTTACTGAGTTTGTTGTATTGCTACCTTTTAAACAGATTCTAATAGTTTTTTGTCAGCACTTTTTCCTAAACAAAAGTAAATATTGGAAAATTGTGTTAGATGGTAAAATATTCTATTACCATATGTGTGCTTACTGACATGCCAATGTGTAACAAAGGAGGTGCTTGTGCTCCCTCTTGTGTTCATTGTTGGTAATTGTTGCTAAAACTACAGTATATAATAAAGATTATAATTTTAGAAATGTAAATAGGTTTCTGTGGTTGTTGTTAAGAATTGCAATCATGAAGCACTGTGCGTAAAATATTTATTTGTGACAGGGGGCAGACATGTTACAGGCTCAGATCTATCAGATATGTCTTTAATATTAAATTTAGAGGATACAATAGGATGATGCATCCTGATTGTTTTTGTAAGTTGCTATCCAAAGACTTCCAGTCCTTAACAAACCCTGTGGGAGTCCATGTTTAAATGATCTGTAAATAGAAAACTGAGGTAAGAACATTCCACCAACAGTAAATCTAGAGTAATAAAAAATGTTTGCATCAATGTCATAACTAACCTGCTAAATTACCAAATAAATTCCTGTTTAGGATCTGTGTTATATGTCCATCTTGGTGAAAAGTAAACTATTCATAACGTAACATTAATTTACCGCTACTCTTCACTGCTCAGTTACTAACTACACATTCAACCGTCTTCACATACATTTTACTGTTCAGTTCATTTCAGCCACACACAGACTACAGTAAGTGGTTCTGTTGCACATATGGCAATGTTGATGCAAATGATCATTTTATGCAAAAGCAGATGTACTCAACCTGTTTGACATTTTAACACTTGTGATATACAGATGTTTAAGATATGTAGCAAATACTCTTGTTGTTAGACGGAGAATGTTGGATTTAGTGACTGAGTGATTGAGTGACTCTGGATCTTGATGGCTGATGATAATGATTTTTCTTTTTCTCAGTAACACTTTCAGAGTGAAGAGGTCGCCAAAAAAATCCCCATTGTCTGAATCATCCCAGGTGCGTACCTAATGCTCCAAATCTCTTTCACTTTTGATTGCCAGTATTTCCTTCTTCCCTCTGACTCTGTCACTGCCACCTCCTTTGTTGCAGGATCCTATGTCAGCAGATGAACCTCCTTCCCTCCACCCACAGGACGACCACGCCACAGATGAGGAGAAGCTAGCCTCCTCCACCAGTCATAAATGGGCAGCCCTGCACGACATGGATGCAGATTTAAAGTCTGACCAACAAGACTTCCCAGAGCCATGCGACCTTACGTCATTTGTTAACGAGAACAGTCTTCCTCATCAGGCTCCAGGTGAGGCATGTCTGATTCCCTTGGATCCGCCTTTGTATCTCTAGCCACATGTGTCCAAATAAATGCTAACAGAGATCAAAGCATACCACAGACAGACGGTGCTCAAAGGACATAACAGAGCGTATGTTTGGATCATGTACAACCACTTTACTCTTCATTCATTCAGCAACATTATTGATTTTTGTTGTGGCAGTGAAATAAGCCTGCTGGCCCAGTTCTCTTCTGCTCTCTGACCTCCAGAAGAGCCACCTCTTCCCAGAGGCTGTGTGGCTCAAACCATCTGGGTCAGACATGAAATAACGAACAGACAGCTCTGCCTCGGCTTCTCATCCCATCAGTCCAGGGCTTATCGCTGGCTGAAATGTCTCCTCATTTCTTGTTCTGTATTTAAAACTAATCTTTGTTTTGTCTTTCTGTGTCAGTGCAAGACTATGAAATTGAGTACATGGAGAAGATTGGCTCCTCTTCGCCAGTGAGTAATTCACATAATTCAACAAATGTTTGCTGTCTTTATAGTGGTATGCTTTATATGTGACAAGTTATATCGGCCATCCAAGACAAAGTAAATCAAATATCTTGTGTTTGTTGCAGCCACTGTCTGTGAAGAAGCCATCTTTGTACCTGAAGTTGGACTCAGTATCTGACAACTTAACCAGGAACACGTGTGCACATGGATTTGAGCCCAGCTCCCCCTGCACAGGGTACAACACACTCTACTATGCTTTTTTTTGTTATATGTGTAGTTACTTTGCAGTATTTCATATATGGTGTGTTTACTGTATAGATGTTTTACAGTTGCTGTTTTCAGTGCTTTACTGGTATTTCTAGTTTTCTTATTGAAAACCATAATGATTTGGATTGCAAAATGCATGCAGATCAGCTGCTCCAGCAATGTTTTTTATTAGCACTCTTTCATTCATCAAATACAGTACATTACATGCCATGTCCCTCTATCTCTCCTCACGTTCTCTCATTCTGTGTAGGAGTTTTGAGGAGATGGAGGCCCAAATATCATCAGGTATGAAGACACCAGTGCTGAGCTCCCGGCCCGGTCCTGAGGGCTCTGCTGGGGAAAAGGGAAGGAAGAGAGAAAGCGAGGCACTCAGCCGAACACAGAGCACAGAGAGGGATGAGCAGGTGAGCCAGATTCCAACTCAGGTTACAGTTACCAAATATGTTATAAAAATGTCTGTTTAGATTTTGGAGCATTTGCACCATTTCATTGTATAGTCACAAGGGGGACAGTGCCACACTGCACATGCTTTATTGTAGGCCCTCCAACATGTACACCATCAGTCATTGTTTCTCATTAAATCCTTGTCACTGATCTCACATAGCCAGTCAGCCACACTAGGTTCCCAGCTTGAACTCAGTGACTCAGCTCCCAATGCTGCCACTCAAACACTCAGCGCTTGCTTTGCAATGCTGACCCCTGCCCTCCTCCCTGCCCTCTTCCTACTCCTCCCGGTGCCCCTGTAGCCCCCTAGCCAGGGCCCAGTGGAGGTCCCTGCTCCAGCTCTGGCCATGCCCCTGTTAGACAGGCTGTCTGAGTGCGACGACTCCCTGCAGTATCTGGAGCCTGACCTTGCTGAGACCAACCCCACTGCATTCGCCCAAAAACTACAGGTGTGTTGACAGACCACACATGACCCCTCTTGATAAACCTTATAGGCCTTGCCTCTGGTGGCCCATTTGTACCCCTGATATGTGATTGTGTGTGTTTTTGTATGAATGTTAATTCCCATTGTGTCACCATACCACACCATTTTTCCTCCTCTTACCTACATTTTAGCTTGTTGTGTGAAATAGATTGATCGTGTGTGAAATGTTGACAGCCGCAAGTGTGTGCGCTCAACTTAAGTTTCTAAATGTTTTCCCTTTGCTCTCTCATCCTTGGGCCGCAATCCCCCCTCCCTTACTCCTGAAATCAACCCCCTACTTCCCCTATAATGTGTGCGGCCCAGGAGGAGCTGGTGCTTGCTGCCCTGAGGATAGAGGCTCTGCAGGTAGCCAAAAACATCTCTCAGTGCCTCCCCCTCTCCACTGTAACCCCCCAGGTACTGCGTTGAGTCCTGCACCTGCTGTACGCAAGTTTGTGTGTAGGAGGAAAGATGCATCTTGAATGAGTGATTATGGAAAAGCAGGTGCGCATGACTGTAGTGTGCGTGCATGAGTGTGTCTCAGCCTGCCTATCCCTTCCCTTAAACACACCATTCTGAGTGTGACTGTGAACTCATGGCCTTATCAACATGGTGGCTGCACCACTACATCCGCAGTCCTGCCTCCTCTTCAGTCCCCACATATGAAATCTCTAACATGGCTTAATGCGTCCAGCTCCCACCCCGACTAGCAACGAGCTTCCAGGTTGACTCCTCAGGAGTGCTGTGCCTTCTTAGTCCCTTGCCTTTATTATGCATGTTGGGCAACATGCATGTTGCCTGTTCATAGGAGGCTTACATGAGCATAAATGTGACTGGGATTGTCTCACACTTACTCTAGACGTAATATCAGCAGCTGAGGAGTCATATGGATATAACTCCTCCAGATGCTTTGCTATCATCACACCAAATCCCAGTCACATTCTTGTTTTATAATTTGGTCCTTTTCCCAGACTAACAGCACTAACAATCAGATACATTAGGTAGGTGTGTGTATTCAGTTTAGTTGGAAGTTTCTGTAGAACTTGGGATTTTTGCTAGTTGGAGGGCTTGTGCTGAAACAGCACATGCCCAGATATAACAAAAGTTCAATATTTTGCTTTGCTTGACAATCAGTGGTGAATCTTACATATTTTATGGTCAGTGGAAAAACTATCATTGGAGTTGGAGCAGGGCAGGCGCTTCCCCGTCCTCCTTCCTTCCATGTCTCATGCTGTTGTCCCACACATTTTACAGTCTCGACTCAAGAAACCCAGCACGCGGAGGTGGAATATCAACGGTTCACCCTTACTCAAAGTAAGAGTAAAATTGTACCCCTGTGCCCCCGTCTGAATCCAACTACAGTCCAGTACAAGCATTTTATTATAAACACGTGTTTCATTGTTTTTGGCTCATTGCACCAGCACACTGGAACTATGAGGTTAAAGTGCTTTCAGCGTTAAAGGTAATTGAAGGCGTTCACATCTACATTGGTCTAGAGTGTAGGAATCACAGCCCTTTAAAGCATAGTACTCCCAATTTTTGAACAGTGCAAATGATAGAGCTACAGTTCCTGCACTTTTTATCCAATTTAAATGTAAATGCCTTCAAATCAAAGCTAAATTTCTTGCACTTTATCCTCGTAGTGGTGGAGCACAGAGCCGGAATAATTGTCCAAATACCTACAGACTGCACTGTATACTCAAACTCCTGTAGCCACAGAAGTCCAGAAGTCTAAGACCTTTTTGTAAGGTCTCCCTACATTTGCTGCCTACCATAGCTGTGCTTTGTCCCTGTGAGTAAATGTGTCTGAGATATGTTTTCTGCAGTTATATTTAGTATCTCTCTTGTAGTCTTTATACCTCTACTACTGGGTTAGTTTTGTGTTTGATGTAGTGCTTGTCTTGTGGCTTCAACTTGTTTATTCAATTTGCCTCTTTTTTTTTTCATTAAGAAGATTTTCTTCAAGTCTATGTGATGTTTACCCGCAAGTAATGCTAAAATGTTTGCAGTTTACTTGACATGTGATCCAGGGTGCTCTGGTGAGGCTGCTTTTTGTACAAGGGCGAATTACCAACCAGACAGAGCAGGCAACTGCCCCAGGGCCCAATATCCTCAGGGGCTACAAAGGCCCCAGGTTCTTTGTGTGGCAATTACATTCATGATAATTTAATTCATACACATTTGTTTAGCAATGTGCCCCCCCCCCCACAGCATCTTTGTACAACAATGTTTTTTATATTAAGTAAGTATAAAGCATATATAAGTATAAAGCAGCAGGAAGTGTATACCCATTAAGGACATGTTGAAACCTTACTGAATTGGGAGGGTAAGCCCAATCAGTACCTGACTAACATCAGAGGAGATTCATGGTTACCTAAACTTGACCAGTCTTTACCCTCAGTGGAATAATGGAATTACTGCTCCAGCCAGAGAGAACACTTCACTCTCTTTTACACATATTGGTGGATCTCAGTCTCCTTGTACCCCACCATTTAATCAAATCCTGTAATCCGGCACTCCCAAGGATGACTAAATCCCTTTCAGAGCAGAGTTATAGAAATGGTACAAAAATGAGGATTGCATTTTGCTGAGGTTTTGTGTGAGGAGTTGATGTTGGTAGAGTATTTTCGTAGGTTGCAATGGTCACTGGAACACATGCTTACTTTGGTTTACTTTGGCTTGTAGTATCTTTCATAACCTCAACACTTCAAACATAAACTCCTTCTTATGATAAATCCCGTGAATTCTCTGGTTCACCTTACATCATACCGTAACAGGTTACAGTAAACACTATGATTCTAGCCACAACAGATAAGACCCGTTTTTTATGTTGTAATATGCTTTAACATAAGACTAACATCTATTTCCAATGCTGCCCAATACCCTATCCTCCCTCTCCTGTATACGATGCAGTTCTTGCTGTATCAACTGCTGCCCTCCTTCCCCTCTGCCTTGCCTGGACCCAATCACATTCAAGCTACTGCGATGAGCAGGTGATCATGACCGCTCAGCTGGGGGCAGCATCAGCCAAATGGCTTGGCTAATACTGTGGCAATGAAGACTGTTTCATCCAATCATATGGCGGCTGACCAAGTCTTCAGGAACATCACTAGCCTTCCTCATTTACATATTGATTTTTCTGTTTGGTACAGTTTGATATAGTTTGATGCTGCCTTGCGGTTTGGTTCAGGAATCCTGTTTAGAATGTGTGTGTGGGCTCAAGGGTGAGGGTGTCCTATCTGTTCGTCAGCTGAGTCTGGTTTGTAACTGGTTATGTTTCCTTTCCTATCCTTCTCCTTGGGTGCCTGGAAGCAGCACAGAGACGTGTCATCTCCAGTAGAGAGTGCCGTGTCCAAGAACTCTCTGTACACCAGGACCACAAGCTACATCGAAGGGGAGAGTCCCCACCTGCCCAGAGATCTGGACCACTCGCTGGGAATTGCAAGAGAGGAGGTGCCCCAAAAATGTTTCTTTTTATTCTAAAAGTCACAAAGACTATATATCCTTCAATTCAACATCTCACACTTTACTTCTTGTCACCCTCCTCAGATTGTGACAAAGGAGAAAGAAGTGCTGGAGTGGCAGAGGAAGTATGAAAACAGCCGACAGGAAGTGGTGGAGATGAGGTAAGAAGTTGCACCTGGGGTTGTCCCCCACCCATGCATTATAGCATAGATTTAACATGTCCTTGTGTTTCTGTTAAATGGTACTACTGTGTCTCAATGCTTAGTGTCTGGTTTTCTCATTTTTACCATTTAACCTGTTAATTGGTTTATCTTGCTTAAACTGTCAACCAAAGCTCGCAGAGTGTAGAGCCCGTTAAAGAAGTCCATATAAATCGTCAGCACAAGTGTTAGTGGTGGATAATAGAAGAATAGATGTGGTTTTAGAGTTAAAAAGTCAGATATCTGTGGGAAAATGTGTTAGGGGCTTTAGGTTTTCTGACAACAGCTCAAATTAAATACACTCAGGTTTATGTCTACAGAAAATCAATCTATGGCTGCTAACTGGGGTTCAGATAGTGATTTGCGGTACTAAAACCTTGTCCTCTGTCAGCAGGTGGTGGTTGTGGGTCCAGCTGGCCACAGCTCAGTTAGCATGGATAAGATAGAGCTTACTTCATTTGACTGATTGTATTCAGGATAAGGTGGGGCTAAAAGGCCAAGGATAAGGCATGGCTAATCAATCCTCTTACCTCTGGCAACCTGATTTTTCCCAAACCAAGGGCTTCCTAATGGGCCAGCTGGCCTTTGGCTCGGAGTGTGGGGGAACTTCTAGCAGCAAAACCAGATGGAAACTGGAAGCACAGTGCAGATAAATAAAAAGTGTAATTGTAAAGTTAGCAGAAGTGCCAGATCCCAGCTATTTGACTAATATCCCACCAATTCCACCTACATGTTTTTATTAAAATTTCTTGTGAACAGACAGTCGCATTAACAAAACCTCTATATTCATAGGTGGAGACAAATGTGTGAATTGAATAAAATAACATTGTTTCAGGGGCATGTATACTTTTAAATCATTTGTCATACTCACGTAACCTCATCCATATACTGATGATATACCATTTCTCCTCCATAGGAGAATTGTTGCTGAATATGAGAAGACGATTGCACAGATGATAGGTGAGTTCAATTTTAAATACAGGTTTTCAGTTGCTTACAAAACCTAAGCATTGGTCACAGGTTACTGGACACGTGAATGTTATTTTAAACCAATTACTTTTGTTCCCCAACCTCTCCCACTACTTTTTGCTGCACTTGAGTTAAGTATTTTGCTATCCTCTGACACAAGCTAGCTTTGCTATGTGCTTGCTTTCATGTTTGATTGATATGAACTGTATTCTGATTTCACTAGAGGGGGGTGTGCTCACCTTTTGCCCAATCATGTCCAGCTTCTCTGGTATTAAATTCCACTGCAGGCTCACTATCTGCATTATTCCTGCTCTCACCTACATCTTCTTCGCCACATGAAGATTTGATTTTCGCTGCTGTGTAATTTCATTCCTTACTCTCATTAAAGCACTGTCACAAGAAAAGGATCAATCTGTATCTAACACACGGCTCTCTCACATGCCTTGGCCTCCCAGCTTGACTTAACACAGTCCCTTCTTTTCTGTTCTGCTCTCATTGTTGCCCCTTACTATTTGATAACCCTGACAGGCATGCCAGGTGAGTAACGCAGAATTGTCCTTCACTTGTTTATGTCAGCTCACATCTCATCATCCGTCTGTCAGAGAGGGGAGCAGATGTGCTCACCTTCCTCATCGCATCTAGTGAAATCTGTTTGTCCATTTTGTTGCATTTCATCTTGTATGTTGAGACACTGAATGTTTTTGTAAATGGGTAACAAGGACCTTTAGATACACAGTGGAAACTTTTACATGTACATCTGCACTTTGCTTCTGTAGATGGTTGCAAGTCACCCATGCAGAATTAGTGAGATGAGCAGGATGGTCATCTAAACTTGTGACAGGAATGGAAAGGGGAAGCATGGAGGGGGCTGAAATATTGGGGGAGCTTTGTCATTTAATATGGAAGGGTCTAGAAGCCACTCAAAGCAAAGCAGCTACCAGCTCTGTCTCTATGGTTAACAGGTCTCTCTGATTTCCCCATTATTCAGTGTTTTGTTTGCATGCTACACTGGTATATCAGATATTCATGTAGTTTAGTATACAATTCTGTTAAATCATACTAATCCACAAATCCATTTTGATATATTGTAAAAGTGATTGTTTGTATGTATGTACTGTATGTGTTTTGGTCTTTAAATAGTATATGTGTGCACTACAGCAGACTTACGATCTGATCTACAGTATATTTGTGTGTGTCCATCAGAAGATGACCAGAAAGAGAAGTCTCTCTCCCACCACACCATCCAGCAGCTGATCATGGAGAAGGACCAGGCCTTGGCCGACCTCAACTCTGTGGAAAAGTCTCTGGCCGACCTCTTCCGACGTTATGAGAAGATGAAAGATGTACTTGAGGGCTTCCGCAAGGTGACTAACAAACAAACACTTCACGTCTAATGAGTGTTTTCAGCGAGACTGGCCTTGTAAGTCGTGTAAAATGTCACTTGACAGCCCTTATGGCAAGTAATTAAAAATGTTTCTCACTCCGTTCAGAATGAGGAGGTTCTGAAGAAATGTGCTCAGGAGTATCTGTCCAGGGTCCGTAAGGAGGAACAGCGCTATCAAGCCCTGAAGATTCATGCTGAGGAGAAACTAGACAGGTGAGTCTATACATACTCATTATCTCATGTTTATTCCACCATGACTGCGTTATTTTCCCCGACGGGAAAACACCACAATGAACCAACTGAAATATGTTCGGATGCAGGCCAATGTAATAAACTGTTCCTGTAGCTCATTTATGCTCCATCTATTTGAGATTTCGAAAGATTAATTCTGTGTTGGCTGTGCAACCGTAGGTTGTGCTTTAATCAGACTTTCCATGCTTATGGGGTCCATGGAGAGGTGAATTGATTCTCATTGTATGACTTGGATGTTTCCAGGGCAAATTCAGACATAGCTCAGGTGCGGGCCAAGGCCAAGCAGGAGCAGGCCGCCTACCAGGCCAGTCTGAGGAAGGAGCAGATGAAGGTTGACTCTCTTGAGCGCACTTTGGAACAAAAGGTCAGTCAGAATTCCTCACTTCTAGAGTCCCGGGGGTAAAAGCATGTGAAATCATTAAAAAAATATATCCATGTGAACAAGTGTATAAATTAACTAATTTAAACAATTGCTTTACAGAACAAAGAGATCGAGGAGTTGACAAAGATCTGTGATGAGCTGATTGCCAAGATGGGGAAGAGTTAGCGACCACACCACGCCCAGGCCAAATCCCACAGAGTAGACAAGTGGTTCTAGAAAAACGACTTGGAAAATGAAGCCGATCAGTAATATTTACCACTCTTCCAAGGACTGAAGGCCAAAGTGGGGGTTAAATTTATTTACTTTGTGTATACATGATCCACAGGAATGGCTTCCTCTTAATCACTCTGTACATTTTTTGATGTGTCAGTGTATCGTACTGTATCATGGGTCTGGTTTAAAGTTTTAGACTATGTATCATATCACTAACAAGTGTGCCTGCGTGTGCGAGTGTGTGTATGATAATGAGAAAAGTGAGAGCATTGTTTGGGGGTTAAATTATCTATTATTATGTTGCCATGACAGCCACTGAGGGAGAAGACTGTTTTACCCACTCCTATTGATAGACTTTGAAAAAGTGTAACAGACTTTGATTCATTCATAAAATGTTGATACAGCACTAAGAGAACACAAACTGTCACAATAGCTTACTGCATGTGAGAGAAAGAAGAGCCTGTAATGTTAATGTTTGTATATACTGTAGGAAATGATGAAAACACTCATCTGCATTTTTGATAGTTATTCTGTCATCCGCTTCCCTCATGTAACCTTGTAGATATTTGTCATACTTGTCATAGCTTTCTCGATGAAATCGCAGGACTATATTTTGGATTTTATTTTGATATAAAGCAAACTAATTGTGACTGTATTCAGTTGTGACCAGGAGTAATTTCATTTTGGATGGATATGTCCTCGTCCTGCTATGGTTGTTGTGTCACACTGAGGAATAACTTCTCTGCACAGCTACTGTATAGCATCTGCTTACAAAGTGCAATAAAAGATGGCAATACAGCATAATGAGTTTACTCTGGTTATTTCCCCACATTACATATTTTTTCATACTGAAAGTCAGAAGGACTGCCATGTGAGATAACACATCGCAGTGAAATGCCTCAAGGCATTTGTTTGGAATTTTTTAGTGGAGTTTTGTTGACCTGGCATCACTGATGATAAATCAGAATTGAGATGTGATTATTATTATTTGACATTGTGCTGTTTTCAATCAGTATCTGAGGAAACAAGATACACAAGCACAGCCGAAAAAAATAAATTGGGATTTGGTAAAGTATACATATTTATCCATATATCCGTTAATTGATGTGAGGCTAGGCCTAAACATGAACAATTCCAGGATCTAAAGTGGGTTTCCCCTTTATATAATAAATGTATGTATGGATTGATAATAAATAGTGACATCCAGTTTGAAATTCATTTGAAAGAACATATTTAAAGCACATGACAAGTGGTGTCACAGGAAGGTTGTTGGGGTATATCAGACAGCTCAGAAACTTTAGATGATTGCAGTGTTAACCAACCTTTAGTTAGTACAGCATTATTTGGATTTTGGCAGCAACTACAATATATTTAGAATGGCGGTGTCAAAGAGACAGATGCCAGCCAGCTTAATATACACTCACACAATCCCAGGACAACAAGCAGTTCAGAGATCAGTTTCATAGTGATTATCCTGGTGCAGCAGGGTGATGTAAGGGCTGGACCAGGTGTGGACGGACAGCAGATAGGGAAGAGCCACACTCAGGATGGGTGTGGCTAGAGCACAGCGATATGGCAAGAGGTACAGGATAAATCCTAATACGTGTCTTGACCCTCAACACAGAGCTGTGGGCCCTAGTAGAGGGGCTGGCAATCTCCTGGTCAGTGCAGGAGAGCATATTAGTGCATCTGATAGTTCAGATTAAGATCAGGGGGCTTTAGGAGCAAACAACCTGATTTTCATTGTGTGATCAGGACGACCGAGGACCACCAGCGCCATGAGAGCTGTCCAGAACTGTCCGCTGCTACTGCTTTCTCTGGTCCTGCTAGCAACCAACAGTAAGGACCAGGTTTTTAGTTTTTGTAACCTTCCTTTTTCCATCTTCACCTTATCCTTCCCCCTTTAGATCTCTGCTCTACCCTCTGTCCACCTGTCCTTTGGAATTGATTGGTGTCTTCATTTGGGTACTCTTCTCCCTTGCCTCTCTTTAATTTACAAGAATCTTTTGCATTTGTTATTTTAGTCCAGGGAGGCAGGAACAGGAGCTTTGCTGTCAGACATTAGGACAGGAAATGCTGGACATAACAACAGTACAGTTATCTTTATTTTTTCAGAAATTGACTGGCATGTTTTATGTCTCTAATAAAAACTATTTTACAGTAACAACTTATAACACTTTATTTAATGTCAGGTTTGCTAATTGCTGTTCATTTCTCTGGTAATTATGCAGAGTTTTGCCTCCCTTCAGTCTGTCACCCTCTTCTATGACTAGCATGCAATCCCAGCAGCTAATCTCTTAATAGGCCTGGAGGCTAATACCTGTGGCTAGCATGTGTGTAGAGTGGCTGGGCTGTGGGGATAGATTGGGGTCAACCACAAACAGCAGGGTGCATTTGACAACATACAGCAGGGCACACAGGAAGCAAAGAAACGACACCAACTACTCAAATGTATACGAGAGTGCTGGTTTGCTTTTGTTGTTTTTGTTATAGTAAAGTTTTAGCAGTAAAAGGGCTGACATTTTAGTAATTTTTACTTTGTTTCATTAAATTGATTTGCTGGTTTGATTAGAAAATTCCTCCTCTGTGGTGTATACCTGTATGGAAACAACACTTTGATGGCCAAGACAAGAGATGTGCTGCTACAAAGAATGTTTGAAGCTTTTGGTGATTCCTGTAAGTCCAGCTCTGTTTGATCCTCTTATGAAGCAGCATTAAAGGCTGTTTCTGAAGGGCCATTTTAGAATTTATGAGACAGGATGGAGGTTTTCAAAAGGAAGCGTTAAAGTGATATTTCAAAGGTCAGCTAGTTCTGAAATAACCGCTCCTTCCTCTGGAGAGCTTTAGAAAGACATTTAAGGGTTTTATGTGCTGAAGTGGACTCCTGAAGCTTCAGCTGAAGGTTAGAAAGATGTGTTTTTAAAGCTGAATGCACTTTTTCTTAATTCTTTACTTGATTTTGGGAAGATTTGTGTGCATGAAGTGAGTAATTAGTGCTCTGTCCTCTCTTTACTGTCACTGTGCCTGTGGAACAACTTCACATATCAGAGTCACCCAGATGTGAATTTACCACGCCTGTGTGTACCAGAGTCGAGCCCTGTAGGCACTGCTTGAGCTTAACTAACAATGGACCAGATTTTTTGATGAATGGGACTGCAGTCTTTGCCATACCAGAGCAGCTGCAGCTGGCTGTCTTAAGAATCACTTGTACCAATGTATAAATATGGGTTTTCAAACATGACAGAAACATTACCAGCATTAAATGGCCTATTCGTGCCTTGAAAGAACTCGGTACATCTGTCATGGGAGCTGTGTCTCAATTAGGATACTTCCGATGGTATGCTGCCATGTAGTTCACTGTGTACACTATGTACTTACTTGCACGGTGCATGAATTTCCACAGGGTAGTGTTGTTTCAAATCAAACATGGACATTGTACACCTACTGGAAATGACAATCATTTGTGGCAACTGCCAGTTGCCAAATATCTGCCAGCTTGTTTGCTCACTTGACTGCATTTCAGTTTTTATTGAAAATGAATAAAAATGAATGTACTTTTAATTTTACAACAAGGGTCCCTTTCCTTCTGCTACGTAGCCAAGATGGCGACTGCAGAATGTAAGAAGCGATGTGTCCACCTTTTGCACACTCAACTTTTTTACTGTTATGAGTACATCAGCTGGGATAGTGCAGTGTATTTGCCATGCTTTTCAGTGTGAACGCACTTATGCACTCAAAAGAGCAAGTGTAAGTATGAAAGGGCGCAAATTGAGACACTGCAAGGGTGTTTTTTACCATCTCTGAGATTTTTGGCCTGGTTTGACAATGTTTCTATATAACCTCTGTGCTATTAACTTCCTGTTATATAAAAAATTGTATGAGCACATTTTCTAATCTGGGAATTATATGGTTTTATGTGACTTTTATTCATTCCTAATTAATCATATATTCCTGATATTTGAACTAACTGACTTATTATAATTATGCTATTTTTTACTAAAATGTTTACAAAACATGTATGCTAACACCTACACTCGACCAAGATAAAACTTTATTTCCTAGATTACTAATATCTTTGACTTGTTTTGACTGTAACACTTTAGTCAGTATGTTAGCCTGTGCTGTAGCAGTATTTCTTTTCTGTGTCCTTCAGGTGAGGCTCTGCGATGTTATACCTGTATGGGCTCCAACAATGATGACTGCAACCGGCAAGGCTCCAAATCTTGTCCCAGCTACTCTGATGCGTGCGCTGTGGTGGTGGGCCATGACAGTGAGTCCAACAGTGACAGTGTAGTAGCCTTTCTTATACTAGTTCACTTTCTACCTTTTTTTTCTACCAAAAACACAGACACACACACAACTCTATTTGTATCTGTATGTGAGGATATGTGTGTGTTTGTGTGTGTTTAATGGAGGACGGGCTGCTGTCTGGAGACACATCCCAGTCAGCAGGGGGTCTGAGGCTTTTAAGAGAATGAAGAGCTTTGCTACTCCCACTCCATCAATATCCTTAATTAGGACACCATGTGTTCATGGCACAGAGAACTCCTCTTCGCAAGATTAAGTTAACTCACTTTACTAATTTAAACCTGCACGTAGCAAGAGTTTTAAATAAAATATACCTTATTAATTATCAAAAAGTGGGGCAACAGCAGATAATTAAAAGTGTATAGTGTATTCTGGACATCCACAGACAAAGTGATAAATCAAAAATTAAGAATGAAAAACTGCTAAAGCTTTATGGCCTGGTCAGTTTTATTATTGGAACAATTTAATCAAATTTATTTTGGTCCTTGTAAGACAGCTGCTGAACCAGTGTGACTGATTTCTATTTTTGTCTGTTTATCAGGTGGGGTGATGAAGTCATGCTCCTACAAGTCTTTCTGCAGTCAGGCTAACAGCCAGGGCTACAGAGCACCAGGTGTCAGAGTTCACTGCTGCTACGGGGACGACTGCAATGTGACAAGCTTCTCCTCCAGGCTGCCGGGACTCAGCTATCTGCTGCTTTTTCTGCCTTTATTGTTCCACTGCTTTTTCAAGTAGCCATATGGCTCAACTTCATTATGCCAACAAGTATCCATCTGCAACACAAATGCCACCTATGGTTGTTTTATTTACTCCAGAATTGCCAAATAACCCTGACTCATTTCACATTACATGCTGTCCTACTTATTGCCCATCCACTGTGCTTTGATTGACCTTATTTATCCAAACGGAAGCTTAGACATCGAGGACTTACTGTATGTAAAAGATCTTGAGGTTCTAGGTGTGACTGCGTAGATTATAAGCAATACATTGGATTAAATCTATTAAGAAGTACTCAATTATGCATCTTTCAATGGATTTCACTAAGCCAAATAACTAGAGGATTCTATGGGAAGTGCTGAAATAACAGTAAGAGATCATTTATTATTTGTTTATTACATCAAAGGGGAAGAGATGCTGTTTGAGCTCAACGGTTTCCTCACCCTGGTTTGATGATCAGCACACAATTTGAGAAACCACTCGATAATAGGAACATCTATTGTTGGAAAGGTGATAGGTTTTAACTAATCACCTTTCAAGATACATTTTAACTGCATCTATCTTCTTTTTTACCCACATACCTACTGTATATGCCCTAGCATTTCAGCTTAGCTCATGTTGCAGCAGATTCCTGTTGCTAAATATGGCACCAAGAGTTCAATCAGCTGCTGTGTCTTAGCCTTCAACCTGTCAATCACACATCCAACGAGCTGTGTGAGATATTTTGGAAGGTGGTGAGAAACCACTGGAAATGCACATGAGCCTTTGCGTTGATGAGGTTAATCCACTGTATTTGAAGTCTTAGCATGCCTCACTGGAGGACAGCCTATAAGTAGAAGCCACTGTATATATTGTATCAAAACAATTTAATTAAGAGGCAAAAAATGTTTATTGTGTACTTTTCTTTCGCACAGATTTTCTTGGAACTCATTTTAGGAAATTTTACAGAAAAATGTGTAACTGAGGAGTTACGGTATGTTATTTTAGGTCCTGGCAAACTGCACACTCAAATCCTTTGTGGATACACCATCACTATTTTCTGTTCATTTCTCATAGTGTATGAAAATAAATGTTTTATATAATTTAATTTAAAGAAACTAGGGATGGCCATCCTTGCTCCACTGTATATACTATGTTGGAAGGATATATATTCCACTATTAAATGGCAGAACAGAGCTAATACTGGATGTACAGACCAAATGTCTTTTTGTATGTATTTACCGCCTCTGTATGTATGTAATTATTTCTGCCCTTAAAAGAAAATGTCCTTAAAACAAGCTGAAAACTGTCAATGGTGTGAGATTATTTCACTTGGTCTTTCCAAGGCTCTTGGGATGTTGTTTCCATCGGTCTGTCCACCACATTTGTCCAGACTCTTTACAACTACTGGATGGATAACTGTGAAATTTGGTGCGCACTTTTTTGTCCCCCTCAAGATGAATTGTAGTTACTTCATAGGTGATCCTCTGACTTTTTCGTGTAGTGCCATCACAAACTTTCTATTTGTCTATTTGTTTCTCTTTGGTTTATGACCAAATAAATACCTGCAAAACTAATGACGTTCCCATCAGCCGCAGCTGTAATTTATGTTTTGTGCTAATTAGCAAATGTACATTTATTATGGTGAAAATGATAAATATTATACCTGCTCAACACCAGCGTGTTATCATCTTTGTGAGCATGTTTGCATGCCAGTTGATGCCAATGTTAGCATTTATCTCAAAGCACTGCTGTACCTAGTAGACTGACATGTGTTGGACTGATGACATTCACTAAGCTTACTGAACAGCTTACTTAGACACATTAGTGAACTGGTTATGGAGATACATGAACTGCCAATGTAATAAACATGAATATGAGACTCACAACATATTAAACCTTTTAAAAACATAGAATATGTTGTGTACGTAAAGATAAATACAGTTAGTTGTTTAGTTTCTAATTATGAACAGAAAGTGTGGTCTTAGCAATATGACAGCTTATATGAATAAGATAATGGATATGAATTCACCTCCCAATGCATTCATGTGTGAGTGTGCTGTACACACCTGCAGTAGCATCTCCTTCCTAGCATGTCTGCTCTTGTAGTTCTCACAGCCTCCACTATGAGGCAGTCTAGCCACACTTCTGACATCAACAGAAAATCAACATGACTTTTGCAATTCATATTGACCAACCACGCCTCCAGGGTACTGCTGAGATTGGCTTGAGTCAATAGTGATGATAATTGTACTGTTTTATTGCTGTCTGCTGGGATTTGCACTTTATTTAAAAATGTGAAAACTCTCCCCCTCTGCTTCTTGCTTTGACTGGCTCTCTCTCTTTCTGTTCTCTGTATGGTGATGTCCTGCTGCTCTCTCCTTTGACAGGCAGGTGTGAGAGTGTGAACAGACTGCCCTGGAGGGGGATAGACACTGACCCCAAACCGTGAGTCTCCAGGCCTGGTCACCCGGAGCCGGAGCTGCTCTGGGTGCTCACATCCACGGACAGCCCAGAGAGTGGCCCCATGTCAGCCCTCATCAGCTTTACTTGAAAGGCTTCTTTCACCTTAATTAGGGTGGGAGGGGAAGGCTTGCATAAACTTGAAGGGCTGATGGAGGGTCGATGGGTCAAGGTGCTGCTGAGTTGTAGGTGGGGGTGTCTGAAGTTTGTCTTTTGGGGCACATAGTTCAATTTGAACTGTTCAACAGTGTTACAGTCATGTGGGACTGTTTGTGCACTATGCAATTACTCTGCGCATGACTGTTGTCACATGCACTTTTCACCAACAGACATATACTAGGACAGAGTGTATAATTTGATGAAGGATTTGAAAGTGCAATCATGGCCAAAGCCCCCGCTGAATTGGAGCATCTCTGGACAATAACACCAGTCACTGTATTCCCTATGTGTGCGCCATTTGAGCTAAAACCGAAGGTCATCGCCATGGCAACTTTGCTGTTTAAATTGGAGTATATTTAATCCCAATCCTCTGCCACCTGAAGACATTATCACTGCAAATCCCACCGTCAGTCATCAAAGATTTGAGCCGGCTGCCCTTTAAGGGAGACTGTGCGAAAGCAACAAGGCTGTAGAAAACTCGTGTCTACAGTGGTTTCTAAACTAAAACAGACAGGTTTCACTTCTTATGAATGCCGCTGAATGTCCCACACACTGACATATCCATGATTATTTTGTGTGTGGTGGATCAATTGTTGAGTGTGTTTTCATTTGGCGTCGTCTGCTATCACATACAGTTAACGCTTCCATGTTTTTGCTGTGAGATTGTCTGTTAATGATGTTGTTGCATTTGTCTTATGTTTATTTGTCTGGTGTATTGATTACATTATCTTTTTGTAATGAGAGCAGGCTGCAGCACAACTGATTAGATTGGTCAATACAAGAGGTAAAACAAAATCTGCTGGACAGATGTATTTTTCTGTAATGATCAAATCACCTTTGCCTAAATTGGGGTGGTGACATCAGGCAGATGGCTAAAGTTGAAAGCTCCTCCCATACAGTGATATGAACTTATGAACCATCAGTGGAATCCAGGTCCGGCCCACATAAGCAAACCTGTTCATCTAGGACAGTCCCCCACTGGAGAAAGAGCAGTTTCCAGTTGTCCCATGAAGGGTCAGAATGTCTTGGCAGCAATGAGCTTTGGCTACAGTCCCTCAAAATAAGCAACAGTGAAAAGACAAACTTAATGAGTTGTGTGTTCAAGACAGCAATCTACCTTTAAATCACTGATCAGCTGCTTTCAGACAAGCGACAGTCAGTATCACCGACTCAGGTGGACATGATGACCAGTGGTTGTAAAAACAAACACATACGAGCTTGAAGAGCACAAACTGTTTAACATCAAATGCTTGTGCCATTGTGGGAGGGAACAAAAGCGCTCAGGGGGAATGAGAGCGTGTGAGACATTGGCTGTGTTTACAAGTGGCCGGGCTGGTCCTGGCTGGTCAGCCTGGGTTCACCCAACGGTCACCGGTTCTGAGGTCTCCGGGTCTCGGGTCTTTTTGAAAAAGATCTGTGAAGCAGAATTAAAGTGATCTACCTCCGGACTCCGGACAGAAGACCACAAGGCCTTGTGAAACGGGGAAGAGGAGAGATACAGAGAGTAAGAGGGGGAAAGTGGGGGGGCTACAGAGGGAGCCAGGGGGAAAAGAGGAGAAGAAGAATTATGTGTAATGAGTGTGTTCCCCTGCCTGAGCTACTTTGAAATGTGACTAAATGGCCCACCTTCTGTGAGGCCGGTCCCTGCCTTGAGGGCTGACAGGAAACACTGTGCATAGGCTCCAAAAAGTGTACAGCATGTTTAGACATGTGGATAACATCTCCTCTAATAAATCTTTTCAAGAAAGAGCGATTAGCATGAAAGTAATCTGCTTTAGATGGGATTAATTAACCCTCCTATTGTGATTTGGTCGAATTGGATCAATTTTTCAAGTTTTCTCTGTGGTTAATTTAATCCGATTTTAATAAAGTTCCATTACCTTGTCCACACAGGGCACCTGAACAGATAAAATCAATTTTCATTACATTTTGGGTGTTTTATTTTACTTTTCTACACCTTACATTAGAAATAAATGGATGAGACTGCAATTAGTGTACCACACAATTCTCAATAATATTTAGGACACACACACACACACACACACACACACACACACACACACACACACACACACACACACACACACCACTCCTTTCTTGGCTTCTATGGCATTTATTTTTTTGCTAATAAAATCAGACTGGGAACCAACACGTGTTATTTTTTGCTAAAATTTGAAAAAAAATTCAAAATAACATTCTTGTTTAATTTTGATTAAATTAAGTAATTAAGTAGTCTGTGATGAATAACACAATATGTTTGATCTGAATATTTGTTATAATCAAAATAACCCATACATTGTGTATAAGCTCAGGTCAATGAGGCAAGATGAGGTAAGATGTATATGATAATGATTTGCACTTTCAATGCCTCCTTTAAAATACTTTTTAAAATTAAAATAGATTCAGTAACACAAAACAGATTTAATGAGCAATATGAACAAACAACATATTTCACATGTCATATCAATTCATAGTGGATCAATTCCAAGTAAACATGCTTTGTGCCAATATACAGCATAGCGTCTCCACCATATGTTCTCTGCAGTTTTCACCTCCTTCCCAGTGTCCTCTCTTGAGAAGACAGTGTTTGCACCATTTCTGTTTCAGCTATAGCTGTGGTACAGGCTGTCTATTTTTGTTATCCCCCACAGGATGAACAAAGGCGCGGGATTATATAGAGAGAGGGCTCCTATGATTAGCTTTTTGTAGAATAACCACAGTCCTGGTAATTCTATGTGTCGTACAGGAGGAACAAGATCTGCATCCATATGCACAGGCTGAGGATAATATGAGAATAACAAGTCTTCATGAACAGCTTGAAAATAAAATACACAAAGGACAGAGGGTCAGCAAATAAGATGCAGAACTGTGTAAGAGGAAGAGGCTATTCTGGGGTGAGTGTGCTGAATGAGTGCAGAGGGAAAGGAGGATAACAAAAGAGAAGAGAGGAAAGCAAACCTTGGAGCCAAAACCAAATCACATCAGTAACTACTGCGCCCCGGGGTGAGGGCAGGCTCAGTCAGCCGTACCATTCAACTGGGATAATTAGTTTTGGAAAGGAATATCAACTGATATAATTGAGCATTCTCTGCTAATGAAGATCCTCTGTGTTGTCACTGGTGAGGCGCTAATTGATGGGAGAGGCATGGATGGGGTGAGTGCAGGTAGGGAGTGAAAGGCTGTGCAGGATATGATGGTGGAAGTTCAGCCAGCTCTGGCAACCAAAAGTTTTTCAGGTTCGTTGATCTCCATTAAACAGGTTTATTTAGTAGTCGGTGACTCACTGTCTGCTTTCATTCACACAAAGCCCTTTTGGTGTGTATGACAGACTTATTCACCTCCGTTTGTTGTGTTCCCTCTAAATGTTTGCCAGGAGATGAAAGAAAAGTCGTTGCAGCGTTTAGACAGATAAGAGTGGTACAGCTGAGGGCGGGGTCTAAAAAAAAATCACAGCAGTCCACAGGATGGGGGTGGAGGGAGTTTAGGGGTTGCACAGGTCGCGTTGGGAGTTTCGATTGAGGGAAGCAGAGGGTCGAGGATTTGTGGAGGGAGGGCTGTGAGGAGGGGTCATGGTGAAATCATTTGAGGGAATAATAGGAAAGCAA